GGGCTGGGCTGGGCATGTGCGTCCTGCCGCTGCCAGCTCCGCGTGCCCTCCCCCATGCGCCAGGTAGGGGTGGGGGCCGTGCATGCGCCCTCCCCCAACCCGGGGCGCAATTAAATTGTCTGCCCGGGGCACCAGAATGTCTTGGTCCAGCCCTAGTTGGGGGGTGAGTGTGGGAAGCTCAGTGAAAGTGATCTGAGTGCCAGTGTAGGGGTCCAGATACAAGGGCCATGGGGCTGGTGGGGTGGGGGTTTGGACGTGGCCAGGTAGGGGTGGGGGCCGTGCATGCGCCCTCCCCCAACCCGGGGCGCAATTAAATTGTCTGCCCGGGGCACCAGAATGTCTTGGTCCAGCCCTAGTTGGGGGGTGAGTGTGGGAAGCTCAGTGAAAGTGATCTGAGTGCCAGTGTAGGGGTCCAGATACAAGGGCCATGGGGCTGGTGGGGTGGGGGTTTGGACGTGAGTGGGTGAGGCTTGGTTGGGGTGTCTGCATATGCGGAGTAGAGCTGCATGAGAAGTTGGGTGGAGCATTCTCTTTACAGTGACCCCATGGATGAGAAGCAGGAAACAGGTGGGGGATATGTAGTCAGAAAAGGTTTCTGGGGGTGGTTCTGATCTAATCCCAGCCTCTCCTTGCAGAGGAAGAGTAAGTCCCATTCTCCCCTGCCCCCAGCACAGCCAGGATTAGCAGGTGAGTCTGGTGCAGGCCAGGGCACCTCCAGACTCTTCTCTCCCCCAACAGTTATTTACCACTCCACCAGCTGGTCCATGTGGGCAAAACTGTAGACCCATGCTGTAGACCCATGCTGTAGACCCATAGGGGTGTGTGACCACTTTTGCAGCTTCTTTTCCTTTCCTGGATAGGAGTGTGTGACCACTTTTGCAGCTTCTTTTCCTTTCTGCATCTGAAATGATGTGAAATCTGCGGGGGACATGAATTCTGTATGCACACAGTGAAATTTTTTTCCAGAGGTTTACAACGTGGACATATTTAGGTGGATTTTCTCAGGAACAGAAAAAGGCACATCCCTGACACTAGGGTGACAACCATTCCTCATCCAAATTTCAAGTCCTTGCTCTAAAGCCTGAAAGCCCTACAGCTTGCTTGAGTCAATAGTTCATGAATTTTATTGATATGGGTGAAACCTATTTTCTCCATAATTCCATTTTGGGAAGTGGTTGAACTGTTTCAGCTGAAATTTTCCAAAACAAAACCAGTCTGAGGCAAATACCCACCGTGGAAAATTTCATCGTGAACAGTTAAAACCTGGTAATCAACTAATGGAACATAATGGAAAATACACAACCTTTACTTTGGATAGCGCTACCCACTCCACATATAAGAATCTCAGTGACTGCATGCAGCATGTTTATGTGGAAGGAGAGGGCAGGGGAGCAGGCCCAAATCTTGACATGTATCTTTGTTACAGCAAAACACCCTTTGACTTCAGTGGAAGTTTAGCTTGAGTAAAGACTGAAGGATGCAGGATTTGGCCAATTATAGTGAGCAGTAATGTAAGAATTTGCATACTTCCCTGCATATAATAACACACTTTCTAGCTTTCCTGCTCTTTTGGCATACAGCACTTTCAAAGAGCTCCTCATTATGTTGTACAGAAGAAAGAACTACACACAAATGCTAAGCCCACAAACAAAATGTTAACAAATATCTCGGAATGTGTGGGGATATCAACACAGGCTAGTTATAAGCAGAAGCCCATTGTTAAAGAAGGTACAGACACTGCATATCAGTAAAAATCAGTGCAAAATTATAGGAAACAGGCCAAAGAGAAAATAAATATCCAAGCAAAAGCTTTACCCTGGTCTAACTCACAAAACTATTGGGTGTCGTACACTGCCCTATGTAATAGAAATGTAGCCGTGTTAGTCTGGTGTAGCTGAAGCAAAATGCAGGACAATGTAGCATTTTAAAGACTAACAAGATGGTTTATTAGATGATGAGCTTTCGTGGGCCAGACCCACTTCCTCAGATCAAATAGTGGAAGAAAATAGTCACAACCATATATACCAAAGGATACAATTAAAAAAAAAGTGAACACATATGAAAAGGACAAATCACATTTCAGAACAGAAGGGGGAAAGTGTCCCCCTCCCGGAAAGTGTCGAATTTTAACATATATGACAGTTCAGAGGATTCCCTTTCAAGTGCAGATGTAAAAGGTCTTTGTAGCAGAATGCAGGAGTGGAGAATAATAAAATTGACAGATGATATTGCACTGGGGGGGACTTGCAAGCCCTTTGGAGGATAGAATTGGAACTCAAAAGGACCTTGATAAACTAGAGAATAGGTCTGAAATCAATAATATGATATTCAATGAAGGCAAGTGCAGAGTCTTGAATAGAAGGGAAGAAAAAAAATCAAAGGCTGGCTTTGGCACGCATGCAGTTAGGGTGTATCTACACTCTACCCGTAGCTCGAAATAAGCTATTCAAGTTGAGCTACACAAATTGTATAGCTTATTTTGAGTGTGTAGACAGCGCCAAATTTCAAAATAGAGTGCCATTCCAAAAAGTCCCTCAATCCTTGTGTAACAAGGTTTACAGGGACATCGGAATAGCAAGCCTGTTATTTTGAAAGCTAGTTCAAAATAATGGGCTTGTTTAAAAGATGTGGAATAGCTATTTCAGGATACAGTACCCCGAAATAGCACCACAGTGTAGACGTATCCTAAGCTTCAGAGGTCCGAGATTCAGTTTTGCTTGTCATTACCATAGTAGACAGCACAAAACAACCTTCAGTGGTGTTGAATGCAAACAAAATTAAAGGGGAGGGGGAGGGAGAGATTTATCATGGTCCAGATCAATCAGGATCCAGCTCCATCTTGTTGCCCTATATTATCTTTTTGTGCTTCATATTTGGTTTCCTATCAACATTCCCGTTAATTTTCCATTTCCTCTCGCTCATCTCCTTCTTTTGACCTTGAATATTTGAAAATGCTCATTAATATTAGTTTTAAACTTTTCACAAACATATGGAAATAGGCATTTCCGCATGATAATTAGACACTGACCCTTAGGGCCCCAATCTATAGTACTGTATGCCCTTGGTTTGCTGGGTTCAGAAGGAGCAAGGAAGAAGCTGCTTTTGCATGGCATTTCTAATTGCATCATTGATCAATCTGATAACCTTGCCTTGTTCAGTGTGAAGTGTGTAACATTCATGGGTAGAATGCTGCATTCCCTTTAAAAAAAAACTGGAAATAGTTGGCACATAGCAGCCAGCTGTAGCTAGAGTTTAACTATGGTCATTACTGTAAATGGGACAACATTTAGCTCCCCTCCAAAGAGGTAGTGTTGTTTAATGACTAAGGCACCACTCTATGCTCCAAGACTCTGTCTACACCATGGGTTCCCAAACTGGGGGGGCATGCGCCTCTGGGGGGGGACACGAGGCGACCCAGCCTCCCCCCCATCAAGTTTTGCTGCCCTGTACAGTTTCTTTTTCCTTACAACAAGTTTTGCTGCTATTGGGGGAGGGGGTTGAAGGTTTTTCAAAAATCAAAATGGGGGGGGGCGTGATGCCAAAAAGTTTGGGAACCACTGGTCTACACTGTTTGTTTATTGTGGAAGAGGAAATGCAAATGAAGAGCTCATTTGCAAATATCACACACTCATTTGCATAATCTCTTCCTATCCTTTTTGCATGAGAGGTTTTTTGCGGAAAAAAACCCCACAGTGTAGATGGGGCCATTTTTTGGAAAAAAAAACCTTTTAGTGCAAGATTCCTTATTCCTCCAAAAATGAGGTTTACAGGTTTTTTTTTCCGAAAAATGGCCCCATCTACACTGTGGGGTTTTTTTCCGCAAAAAACCTCTCATGCAAAAAGGATAGGAAGAGATTATGCAAATGAGTGTGTGATATTTGCAAATGAGCTCTTCATTTGCATTTCCTCTTCCACAAAAAACAAACAGCGTAGACAGAGCCCAAGAGATCTGGAGTCTATTCTTGGCTGGTCAGCTGACTTGCTGTTTCTCCTTCCATTCCTTAATCTATTTAAAAAATAACTTCCTTTGGACAGGGATGGTTTTGAATCTAATTTCTAATAAAATAAATGATAATTTATAATAATAATAGTTTGAAGTTCAGTGTCTTTTATCTGAGAACTGCCAAGTACAGTACTTAAAAGGTACTGAGCCCACAGTCCCTTTGTGAGAGTAGGAATTATCCCTGTTTCTTTTATCCAAATAAAGTAATTAATGTATTTATTATGAATGAGGAAAGTATTGGCCCAAGGGGTTAAATTGTTTGTTTGTGGTTATGAAAAAGTGTCAGTAGCAGAGCTAAGAACAGAATCCAAAATTCCCAACTCTCTATTTTGTGCTTTAACCGCTACAAACAATTCTTTTAGTGCCTCAATCAGAGAAGGTAAGCTTATTTTGCTAGGATGAGTTAATGGGAAATGGGGAAGACACACAAAAGAGATTTCACACGGTTCAGATAAATACCCAAATGTTGAGGTTTATCTATCTGCCGTACGGTACATCAGAATCTTTTTGATATTTGTCCAGGCTTTCTCTTCGTAGTTGATGTATGGCTGTTTGCTGCAGTATAATAGAACCCAATTCAAGCTTGCAAGTGGATTGATGTTCCAGTAGATGGAGCAATATCTCTAAATTATCGATGAATATTCCGGAGACTAGGTGGATGAGGTAATATCTTATTTTATTGGATGAATTTGCACTGGTGAAAGAGACAAGCTTTTGAGTTCCATGGAGCTCTTCTTCAGGTCATATCTTACATTCCACAGAGTTTGCCTGGGACTTTTATCTTCTAAAGCATAGGAAAGCACTGCTTTTTAAACAGAATCTGTACAAATTTCCAATTGTAATATTGCTAATCTCTGGCATATAGACAACTCCATATTAAGTTAATTGAAAATTATTTCATTTAGAAAACAATTCTCAGTCCTCACTATCAACATTAGTATTCACTATCTTGCCTCTACAAGGAGTACAATTCAAAATATTATTGTTATGCCCTTTTAATGTGCTTCACACTGTACAGTGCATAAAGGAAGACAGTTCCTGACCCAAGGACCTTGAGGTCTAGATTAGGCAAACTATACATTACAAGTGGGTCCAATTCCCTCTAATGCGGAGTTCCTGTTAAGGTCAAATGCAGTCACCAGGATTGCAGACAGCAGGTATGGATTTCAAGCTGTATCATAAGCTTCAGAGGGGTAGCCTAGTTAGTCTGTAATAGGAAAAACTTAAAAAACAACAAATAGTCTAGTAGCACCTTAAAGACTAACAAAACATGTAGATGGTATCATGAACTCTCATGGGCACAGCCTGTCATCTGAAGAAGTGGGTTGTGCCCATGAAAATTCATGATACCATCTACATGTTTTGTTAGTCTTTACAATGCTATTAGACTATTTGTGGTTTATTCTGTATCATGTTTTCATAAACATCACCTCAGAGTTAGAGCTAATGAAACAATGAAAGAGAGCGATTTATAGATATGGGAAAAGGAGAAAAATGGCCTAGATCGGGGTGGACAAAAGGGTCCCAGCGGGCCAGATGTGGCCTGCTAAGTGGGTTGATTCAGCCCACAGAGGCTCTGCTGCTCCACCACCCTCAGGCCAATTAAGGCGTAGGGGTGGGGGGAAGTGCATGAAGTTTCCTCTACCCTGCCAGGAGCACGTGGCTCCTGGCAGGGTGGGAGGAGACTTTGAGTGCTCCCCTGCCCCCCAAGCTTTGATTGGCCTGGGGGCAGAAGGAGGAGCACGCAAAGTCTCCTCCCACCGCCAGGGGCATGGGTGTCTAGGGGGAACCTCTGGTGGGTGGGGCAAAGGCATTCCCCCACCCCCAGATCAATCATGGTCTGTGAGTGGGGAAGCAGGGAAGTATCCCCGCCTTTCCCCTTCCGCCTGAGGCTCTGCCCTTTACAGTGCAGCCTAGGGCCATGTCAAAAATTTCTGAAGAGGCCCCCAGCAAAAAATTAATTGCCTACCCCTGGCCTACATCCTCAGCTGGTGTAAAATGAAGTAGCTCTATGAAGTCAGTACAACTGGGAGTAATGGAAACACCAGCTGCTTAAAGAAAAGCTAGTGGACAGATGCTGAAAGATTTTCCTAATGCTGAAAGTGATCCATCATGAAGCAGTTGTGGTAATGGAGGTCAGGTTACAATTGCTAAGCACTGGAAACAGAACACTGAAAGAAAAGCTCAAACTTGAAAACTGAATTGTTTCCCATGGTAGCAGTGATAGGGTGAAGTCAAAAGAATGGTTCCATTTATACAGTGGGGAGGAGATCAAAAAGAAAGGTATGTAGGTGCAACACCGAAAACTCTGACATGGCTGCTGTTATCACGAATCTGCAATTGTTAACTGCAGCGTAATAAAAGAACACTAATTCTGATGAAGATCCAGAGGTTCAGAAAAAACCACAAAAAGCTTTTTCGCCTTTTACTATGCAGTGGAAATCTAGGGCTTAATTTTGACCTCCACAGAGTTTATTCAGGTTTTTATACCATCCACACCAACACTGTAGCTAAAGCTTGTCTATACTTAAAATGCTGCAGTGCTATAGCACCTTAGTGTAGACACTCCCTACACCAATGAGAAGGGTTCTCCCACCAACATATGTAATTCACTTCTCTGTCTACATTGCAGGTTAGGTCTGTTTAACAGCATTGCCCAGGAATGTGAATTTTTTGAACAATGTAGTTATACTGACTTAATATCCTAGTGCAGACCAGGCCTAAATGCCTCCTAGACTAATATCCTGCAGACCAGGCCTAAATGCCTCCTAGAAGAAGATTAAGCAATGGAACTAGCATTTGTGACTACAACCCTTGCTTGAGAAAATGCAACATGTTGGCACATATCCAAGGGCAGAATTTGTCCATCATGCATTAGTTCCCAGTAGTTCACAAATATTCTAGAATTTTAAGCTGATGGTCACTTATATGGAGTTTTATAAAAGCGAGCATCTAAAGAAGACATGATCTCGTCTCTATTGTACATGTAAACTACTGATTGAAATGGCTTAATAGCAGGCCGAGCTTGTTAGGAAACCCTTATCATATTACTTGTTGAAGAGTGGCTCAAAGTTTGGATCCAAATTTTTTCCAAGCACACAAGTGTTTGGATATTAGATTTTGGTTGAGTCTCATATATGTGCAGATAATGTATTGGAAATTGTTGCCACAAGCAGCAAGAGCTAAGACTAGAGACCAGCTTAGGGTATAGAATCATAGAGCTGGAAAAGACCTCAGGAGGTCATCAAGTCCAGCCCCCCTGCCCAAGGCAGGACCAATCCCAGCTAAATCACCCCAGCCAGGGCTTTGTCAAGCCGAGACTTAAACACCTCTAGGGATGGAGATTCCACCACCTCCCTAGGTAACCCATTCCAGTACTTTACCACCCTCCTAGTGAAATAGTTTGTCCTAATATCCAACCTAGACCTCTCCCACTGTAACTTGAGACCACTGCTCCTTGTTCTGCCATCCATCTCTACTGTGAAGAGCCTTTCTCCATCCTCTTTGGAACCTCCCTTCAGGAAGTTGAAGACTGCTATCAAATCCCCCCTTACTCTTCTCTTCTGCAGACTAAACAAACCCAAATCCTTCAGTCTCTCCTCATAGGTCATGCGCTCCAGCCCCCTAATCATTTTGGTTGCCCTCCGCTGGACCCTCTCCAATGTGTCCTCCACAGAGGTTTTCCAGGGTGTGCATCAATTCATTTAAATAATTGCCTAATTTTACAATAAGCTACAAAAAAAGCCCTACCAAAGTCATTACAAGTTAAAATTTCATACAATGACCTTTTCATACTGCTTCAATGTACTATGCACTGAAATGTAAGTATAATATTTATATTCCAACCCCATTAGTCTATAAGGGTATGTCTACACTACCCCGCTAGTTCGAACTAGCGGGGTAATGTATGCATACCGAACTTGCTAATGAAGCCCGGGATTTGAATTTCCTGGGCTTCATTAGCATAAAGCCGGCTCTGCCATTTTTAAAAGCCGGCTAGTGCGAACCCCGTGCCGCGCGGCTACACACGGCATGGGCTAGATAGTTCAAACTACGTAGTTATTCCGAACTATCTGTACGCCTCGTGGAACGAGGCGTACAGATAGATCGGAATGGGTACGTAGTTCGAACTATCTAGCCCATGCCGCGTGTAGCCGCGCGGCACGGGGTTCGCACCAGCCGGCTTTTTAAAATGGCTAATGAAGCCCAGGAAATTCAAATCCCGGGCTTCATTAGCAAGTTCGGTATGCATACATTACCCCCCTAGTTCGAACTAGGGGGGTAGTGTAGACATACCCTAATTTATGGTAAAAGAAGAGAAAGTAAGCCATTTTTCAGTAACAGAGTGCTGAGACACTTTTGTGTCTGTATGTCTGATTTTGTAAGCAAGTCATTTTTAAGTGAGGAGAAACATGGATTATGCAAGACCAGTTAGACTCCTAAAAGGGAACAAGTAATCTGGACAGGTTGAAAGCCACTGATTTAAGGTATTGAAAAAACCCTGTATCACGTTCCCCAAACTCTTTGTGAAAGGTTAATGATAATGACATAGGCGCAAGTCTCCAATGATTGCAAACATCTACGGATATATGTACAATTGCACTTGATTTTTGAATTATTTTTTTAAATTTAGTGTGAATTTTGCAAAGGAAAAGTCTCAAGTAGTAATCCTGGAAACTGACATCTTTTGATTGCTCAGAAGTGCAGCATAGCATTGACAGAGGAAGCTTCCCCCACTGGGTAGCCCAATCAAAGGGACTCCGTTAGGTGTCAAAAGGTATTTTAATTTCCATGACTTGGACTTTCCCATGGACACTGCCAGTTGGTGGCTTTCCACCTCAAACTGGATTAAGATTATGAAACCAAACATCCAACAGATGGTGAGGACTTTGAGGCTATGTCTACATGACAGAGTTTTTGTGGAAAAATAGCTGTTTTTCCGCAATAACTCATGGCGCGTCCACACCTCAAGCGCATTTTTGCACAAGTAAATCGAAAGATCAGAGGGTTTTTTGCGCAATTGGTACTCCTCATTCTATGAGGAAGAATGCCTTTTTTGCACAAGAGCTCTTGTGCAAAAAGCAGTGTGTGGACGGGAAAGAGGGTTTTTTTGCGCAAGAAGAGGGAAGAGGAAAAAGCACAGGTGCCCTGGAGGCCATTCTGTCCATAGCAATAACTGCTTACTTGAGAGAGAGCATCCAGGCAGTCTGGACGCTCTCTTGCACAAAAGCGCATTGCTTTTTCAATGCACTTTTGCAGTGTGGATGCTCTCTTGTGCAAGAAGTTTTTGCAGAAGATCTCCTCCGACAAAAGCTTCTTGCACAAAAAGCCTGCGGTCTAGACTTAGACTGAGTCACTAACCATCTTAGCTGAATTTGAACTAGCAGTTGAGAAGCTAAAAGCTCTGTAGCCCATTACTGTACCTGTTATTTAAGGTAATAAACTTTGTGAGACTAATTGCTAGAATAAATTAAGTGCAATTTGAATCTTAGTTTTTCATAAATTTTGATCATCACACTAGTTTTCTCCTTGCACTGTCAAGTATGTGACTCATTAAGAATGACGTTTAAATGGCAAACCTGCTGCCTGTAAAGTAGAGGCATTAGGCAGTTCAAAAATCATGTGCATTTTCTCCACATTCTTCAGGGTCTGTCTGAACTGAATCACCAGATGCCAAAGATAACAGCTGGTTCAGCAATTTCTCATAAATCACTGGAACATGGGACAAGGAGAAGAAACTGAGATTTCAATGATAAATACAACAAGGTGCACAAATAATAGAATTGAAACCAGATGAAAGAGGGGTCTTCACTTTGGTACAGAAGGTCAAGGATCACATTTCCACTTGGAGAGCACTACCCCACATACCTTTTCCTTGTATTCTTGAATTAGCCAGCAACATACCATGAAGTTAGTTTTGGAATATATACATGGCAGGTTTAAAGATTCAACATAGATTTGAAAAATTAGTACAGTTTATTTTAGTTAACTTCAACCTCCCCACCTCTCAGCAGTGGTAGGGAAAACAATATTTATTTCATGAGAGTGCTGCTCAAAATACAATACATAAAATTATCATGCCAGCAATTATCTTTTTTTTTCCATTTAGTTTCACAGCACTAGGGAGCTCTAAAATGAGGCAAAAGATTAATATTATTTTCAAAAGTAAACAGTCATCACCTCAGAGAGAAAGGATGGTTCAGGAGGCAGGGAACTTCCCTGGCCTGTGAGAGCTCTGGGTTCAAGTCCTTACTGTGCCCTGACTTTCTGTGTGACAAAGGCTATTGTGAGGTTAAATTAAAAATGGCGAGGTGCTGGGATTGTACAATGATGGGGCTGCATAAATACCTTAAGACAGGCTTAGCTGTGGCAACCTTGTCTCAGCAGTGCTGGAGATAAAGGTGGAGATAGGGTTCTGGTTCTCCTCTCAGTTATAACTGCCACATTGAGATATGGAGTGGCCTAACAAAGAAGAGAATCAGGCTTTTGGACACCATAAAAAACCAAAAGTGGGAAACAGTGTAGCTTCAAATCCCTCTGGAAGACAATGACTATTTGCTCTGTTCCTCTCTCAACTTCCGGTTTGCAGGGGCAGAGATTGACACCAAACCAAGCTCCAGGAACTGTTGGTAAAACTCAGCTGTAACCTCACAGAACCTAAGCCAGATGCACAGAGGGACTGTCTCCTTCCATACTCACCCCTCAGCAATGGTAGTAGAAGTAGCTGACAAGCCATGTACCATTGGTTGCTAGGTCACCTTTGAATCTTAGCTCTGCCCCTGAGGCTCATAGAACAAAGAGTCTAGCTAACACTGCTCTTTGTTTCTCTGTTCCTCCAAGGCCCCCAAGTACATGCTGTCCTAGAAGCATACCTCAGTGTTGTATGTGAACAGCACTGCTCTGGGGAAGCAGTCTGGGTCCCCAGTTCTATTATTTCCATCTCTTTATCACTCTGTCTCCTCCTCGGAGCAGTGCTGAAAGGAACCTAACATGCTTTCTGCAGCCATTTCCCTTCATCCTTCCATTTCCTTTAATAATATTTGCACTGTTGGAAGATAAAGTTCCTGGGATGCAGGAAATATTTACTGTCACCAACTGCAGGGCTCTATAAAGATTCCCAGTGTTTGTCACATTGGTCTTTCCAGAGATTTTCTTTTGGATAAGTTAAACCTAATCAAAACCCTTGGGGGTGAACATCTTGCTTCTGTTTGGCACCAGTCTGAAACCGGATACTTGATGGAATATAACCATATTCCTCTAGCTGAGAATCTGAACCTAATAAAAGCTCTGGACTGCTGACACATAACACAGGGACATGAAAAAAACACCACATTGTGTGTATTTATAGACTTAGCTTAATGTAAAATTCACTTTCCTCAGTCATCTTCAGTTCATCTTTCTTATTAGTTAGCAACGGGCCCTTGCTTTATGATGAGAGGCATGATCTAGTAGTTAAAATACAAAGCTAACAATCAGGAGATCGGGGCTATATTCTTGATTTGCCAATGGCCTTGGGGAAGTCTCTTAACCGCTAAGGGCAGAATCTTCAGAAACTCTCTGTGATGACCTGACTTTTGAGTGTTTCATCCATTGGGAGCAGATTAAGCCTACAATCAATGCAGCTACACTGTAAAAAAAAAATCTTGCTGCACCAAGTCTCAAAGTCCAGGTCAATTGACTTGCACTACAAAGTGAAAAATAGCAGTGTAGACAGAGACCAGGCTTTAGTACAAGCTGGAATATCAACTCTGCCAGTTTTAACCCCTAAGCACCAGCCCAAGTTTCTTGATCCACATTCTGAGACTCACTGCCTATGGAAGGGTTTTTTTAATTGGTGTCCTTGTTTGTTTTTAATAATGCAACATAGATGCACCCAATGAGAGTTTCTCAAAATTCCACCCTTTTCGCCTCTCTTATTCAATAATATTATAAAGTATTTTGAGATAATTGGATGGGGGCATACTCTAATTGGATCACAGTTAGATTTCCCATTAGTGGCAAATGAGATTGTTTTTACAAGAAGCTAATTGCAAAAATAGCATAGAATGATAGATGCTTAGAAAAACAAGAGTAGTGATGTGTCAAGTTTATAACAAACAAAAGGAAGGTTTTTTTCACTCATGCACATCAGCCTCTGGACCTCTTTGCCAGAAGATGTGGTTAAGGCTAGGATTTTAACAGGGTTCAAAAAAGAGCTAGATAGATTCATGGAGGTTAGATCTATCAATGGCTATTAGCCAGGATGGGTGGGAATGGTGTCCCTAGCCTCTGTTTGTCTGGATATTGGTGACAGGGGAGGGATCACCTGAGGATTACCTGTTGTGTTCCCTCTGGAGCATCTATCAGCAGACAGTGATAGAAATGTAGTCGTGTTAGTCTGGGGTAGCTGAAGCAAAATGCAGGACAATGTAGCACTTTAAAGACTAACAAGATGGTTTATTAGATGATGAGCTTTCGTGGGCCAGACCCACCTTTACACACTGATGGGCTGGGTCCATGTAGGTCTCATGTAAGGGAGTCGAGGGGCCTGAGGCAAAGCCAATGAAAAGACTCCCTTTGATTTCAATGGACATTGGACCAAGCTGTAACCGAGTTTAAGAGAGTTTTAATTTATACCCATTCACACATTAGCACTGTCTTTAGGCCAGACTGTTAATACCTCCGGGATCAATTATTCTGTCCTGAGAATATTTAAACTATGTTTAAATTAATGATTTGTTTGAGCAGAAGATGGCTGTAAAAATCTCTTTTCATTTCAGGTGGAAAAGCCCTGGTCGGGAGACCCAATGCAGAGTCCCAATATGACATGATACAATAAGCTGAGATTTGACAGATAGCACTCTGATACACCTAACGCAATGCAACTCAAGAGAGGAGAGGAATGTCTTTCTTGCGGTTCAGTTATCTGTGATCAGACATCACTGTTGCCACTGCTTCAAATGACACAGGAAAAAATGAGGTTATTTTGAAGGAGGTGTTATCTCACAGATGTCATGGTTTGAGTCGCTGTAAACGACAGGACTTTGGGCTATAGATTAGAGTCACACTGGCCTTCAAGATGATACCTAGACTGAAAGGTTTAAACCAGAGTATACCAGAAGTTACTTTTGTTTTCTTCTATTTTTGTATCAGTGGCCTGCCAGTCTGGTTAAGGAATCCTGGCATAACAAGTGTTTTTCTTGTCTTCCTTCTGCTGTAACATTTTTTTAAAAATGCGAGTTTATATCTACCCTGCTGAGAGCTAGACATCAACAATCTCTTCACCCCATAAATCCTGCAGTAATGATTTTGCTGCTGTCCAACATGATGGGACTGTTCATTATTTGGAATTTGAAAGTGACTTTGTGGATTGCCCAGGGGTGGGGGGTATATTTATGTAGTGTATGTTCATGTGGAACTCTATTGCAGCTGAAAGAAATTAATGAAAACAAAACAAAGATGAGATTCATTCTTATGAAGGCTTTGTTATTGCAGTTAAATGGAATTGCTGTTTGTTTTCAACCCCCATGACCTTGCTGAACTGCCAATAACTAAAATATTTGTTATTAGGTCTATAAGTGTGAAATAGCTAAAAACTTCAGAGGGTTAGCTGAGTTAGTCTGTAACTGGAAAAACTTAAAAACAACGAATAGTCTTGAAGCACTTGTAGATGGTATCTGGGGTGTCCCACGAAAGCTCATGGTATCATCTACATGTTTTGTTAGTCTCTAAGGTACTGCAAGACTATTCATTGTTTTTTTGTGAAATATCCAGACTGTTGTACATTTAAAAATAAATAACACTTGTTTCAGTTACCTGTTTATTTACTATTTCTGTCTCTCTCACATGCATGCCCATTTGTTTTAGGTTCAACAGAGGTCTGCCCTCTCAAAACATTCTAAAATCATGAGTAGTAAATGGAGTCTTTTGGTGTTTGATCCTATAGAGTTCATGTTTCCCAACTTTTCTCTGAAGCCTTGAGAGTTAGAAGCTGATTTTGCTTTTTAAATGAAAGCAGAGATCTTCATGTCACATGGTTTCAGGAGCTGGGGCTTTAAACATAGATATTGCAAGGCCTCCCAATTAAACAGTGAGAGCTGATAACAGTGTGCTTGTTGAAAGGACCTGGAACCTGACAAAAAAATTTCTGACTCCATTTGGCTAGAAAACGAGGCAGACAATCAGTGTAAGGGAGAACTTCTAAAGAATTACGGCTATAGCTGAGATTCAGGTACAACACAGAGCCAAATAAATTATTGCTGAGGTTGAAAAGATGCTAGTAGTAAGAGTGACAGATGTTGCAACTGCATGCAATAACTTTAAGGAATATATTGTGTGAAGTTTAGGAAAAGTTCAGATATGCAGCTCCTTCTGGAGTAAGAACAGCTGGGGGGGGAGGAGTAGGGCGAGGGAAGATGATAAAGATGAATCATTCAAGTTACAAACACTTTCAGATAGGTGCCACCCCTTGACAGGCTTGTATATACAAGTTTCAACTTTTCCAGAGAGCAACAGATAAAGAAACGGGCTTTTGGAAACAGAGACGGTGTTTAAATGGATTCAGGGCCTTCTTTCAGATCCAGCAAACAGATAGGACTTTCTGTCCAGTTGCCACAACCCTTGCAAAAGGTTTGGAAAGCCTCTGGCTGCATAAGACCGACAGGTGAACTTTGAAAAGCTTTTAATGTTCAGATGAGAAATGTTATTACATATTTTCTGTGTTATGCTTTTATTACAAGACGAACGATGCTGGCTTAGAAAGAGATTTTTGGTGCCTTGTTAAGTGCTGGCAATACACTAGTCATAGCCCGCAGAGAGAAAGCAAAGCACGGGCACTGGCTTTTAGAAAGACTCATTTGCTGGGGTTCTCACAGTTTTAAGACAAGGAGCTGTGCAGCCTTACAACCTCCAGTCATAAGGGAGAGAATCATGGGACTCTGCTGGAGAGGTGAAGGATGGAAACTTTATGTGGTTTCCTTCAAAGTATGATGGAGGAGGGATACAGGTGCAATTACCCTGAAACTGGGGCAGTAAGATTTGCCTACAGGAAGGGCACATGGTACATATCTATGGGTATGTCTACACTGCCACCCTAGTTCGAACTAGAGTGGCTAATGTAGGCATTCGAAGTTGCAAATGAAGCCTGGGATTTAAATATTCCGGGCTTCATTTGCATCTTGCCGGGCACCGCCATTTTTAAATCCCCCTTAGTGCAGACTCCGTGCCCGCGGCTACACGCAGCATGGAGTAGGTAGTTCGAATTAGGCTCTCTAAATCGAACTACCGGTACACCTCGTTCCATGAGGAGTAACGGTAGTTCGAATTAGAGAGCCTAATTTGAACTACCTACTCCGTGCCGCTTGTAGCCACGGGCACAGAGTCTGTACTAAGGGGGATTTAAAAATGGTGGCGCCCGGCAGGATGCAAATGAAGCCCGGGATATTTAAATCCCAGGCTTCATTTGCAACTTCGAATGCCTACATTAGCCACCCTAGTTCCAACTAGGGTGGCAGTGTAGATATACCCTATGATAGTATTACCTACTGTGGGCCTGATCCAATGCCTGTTGAAGTCCATTCACTTCACTGAACTTTGGATCAGGCCCTATGAGATCAATTAATGAACTGATGCTCCTGGGAGAAAAGAAACATTCATCCCTTTTCAGGATTAGGCTCCACATTATTCTGGGCTATTGGAATCTCTTTCACACTTTCTTTGGGCTGTAGGAGGACATGGAAGAGTTTGAAAAAACTAAAAATGAAACTATAGAGGCGATAACCTTTCACATCCTTTATCTCAGTTCATGTTTCAAAGTTGGTGCAACAATAGTCAAAGTAGGAGCTCTAGCAGATCTTAGATATCTAAAAGTACATGTTTTGGAGGGGTGTTGAATCAGAAAGTGTCTTTACCCAGAATAAGAGGAGAGGTCAATGCCCTTACCAAGAGCTTTT